GGCCTGAGTTCAATCCCCAATTTCACCAAAAAAGGAAAAAAAAAAAAAGCAGCTTGCTGTAATGATTACAAATGTTGCTAACTGGAAACAGTTAGATGCAGACTTACTGAAGGGGGCGAGAACACACAGCATTGTTTTCCCCGTTATTTCTCTTTTTTAAAAAAAAAACTTAAGAATTTAAAGTAATCCCACAGAGACAAGAGGCAGTCTGAGGCCTCCCCTGGGCGTGGTAAGCTCTTCAGGGGAGGACCAGTTCGCAGGAAGAGCAGCACCTTGGCTGTCCTGAGCCGCACTTCTGGAGTCAGGAACAAAGCCAACAGCGCCAGAGCACGGAGGCCAAAAGCACGGCCTTCTTCATGTTGAGAACACGAAGCCTGGCTTCTCAGCCACTGAAGCTGAGAGAGCAAAGTCTCCCTTGCGGTTACCGGAGAAACCAAAGTTTGGTAAAATAGCAACAAATTTACATTCAGTGAGTATTGAAGTATTTACCCAGTGAGAAGGAGTCAGCATTTCTTTGACACACCTTGGTTTAACCCAAAACATTCTCATTTGTCTAAATAACTGACATGGTTACTTTTTTTTTTTTTTTTTTAACAGATAAACGTAATGGACTAGACTGTATGCTACACTGGTTATTTTAGCAATGTTGGTGAAAGAAAGAAAGCCTCCAAGTAAGAGGTGTCTACGTTTCCCAGTGCATCTGGCTGCATCCTAGACAGGATGCTTATGAGGCAAATGTGACCTCGCTCGCGGCTGGCCCGCCTGGCCGTCCTGGGGTCCAGCTCTTACACGCTGGTAGCGACGACTGTCTTACCAGCAGGGTTGTTGGACACTTCCGCCCCAAGCCTTGCTACTTCTGGTGACGGAGCGTGGGGTGCACTGACAGCGGGTGGCTCCTCAGCGGGCCGCGGAGCTGTACTTAGAACTTCTGAGCAAGGCTGGAGCCCTCCCTTGGGGACAGAACCAGGTGTCCCTGGGTGGCACGCTGCGCTCTGTGCTGCACTCGGGCTTGAGGCTGACTGAAGACAGGGCGGAGGCTCTCTGTCCCTGGAGGGCTCAGGCGTACGCCGAAGCTCCTCTGTGTCCCCTGAATCTTCCGTTCCGTTCCTCAGCCTGTCGGGTTCCAAAACACTAAATTCTCCCACTTCCCGGCCACAGCTCAGCCCAGGACCCTGGGGAAGGTCGCCATTCACTGCAGAGAATCTCACGTGCTTTAGGGGCTCCAGCGAGTCTGGGGAAGGGTCCTCTTCTAACAACTGATCCTTCTCAACAATCCTCTCCTGGATGGTAATGCCAGGCGACAGGGTTTTGCTTTTGGAGTCCAAGCCGTGATTTAAACGCAGGGTTTCAGAGTCCGTGCTACTAGAACTGGAGTTGCGTTTGAGGATCCCTCGGGGAGTCCCTCTGGCATTCAGGGAGTCTGTCCGTTGTCTAAGAGAAGACTGGTTATCCCCTGGCTTTAAATCGTCTGATTTGTAAATCAATTTTCTGGATTTGGGGATGGGAGGCCTGGATTGGGACACAGCTGCAGGATCTGCCGGCACAGTCTGCTTTGATTTCTCTAGGTTCTGGCTTGCTGGATCTTGGATCGATGACTTTTCCTTTGATTCTGACAATTCACCTGCAAATTAAAACATCAGGCTCTATATCAAATGGAAAGCAACTCTACAATTTAAAATATTTATAAATTTAGCAAAAAAAGTATTAAAATATTGAAGGCAGTAAAATAGGAAAAGTACACACCTAATGTCTCCAAAGCCTATGAGAATTCAGCCACTGGCGCACAAAGGGTATTTAGGGCCAGGAGATCCTGATGCACTATACTACAGTGGTGATACATGCAGCTATACCTTTGTCTATTCTTTTCTTCTTCTTTTTTTTTTTTTTTTTTTTTTTTTTT